ATCGACTTGCCAAGCCACTTTGTCGCACAGTGCTGCGCAATCCTGCAGGTGCAATGCTTAGCCAGTCAGTGCAACTGTGCCCCCTGACTGGCAAACTGCAGTTCCTAGGTGTCACCCGTGTGGACTCAACATCACTGTCGACGTTTGCTTCTGACTATGTCCTCTTCAAAGCATATGTCGAGTCGACGCCAGTTCGCATGCCCTCCACTGTGACGATGTGGTACTGGACTCTGCAACTGAGCCGCCCGGCTGTCCTCAACCTCACCGTAAGTCGCCGGCGTAGGCATGCAAATCCAAGATATCCACTACATCTGCCTTGTTGAGGGGCAGACCTGAAAGCAGGGCCAGCAGCATCTGCTCGTTGGAGTCAACCCCACGCTGGGATGCCCTTGTTGCGGCTATCACCCTCAAACGCTCCCGTGTCTCAGAGTCCTCAGCATGTGGCTGCACCTGGTGCAACTCAGAGTCAGGGGGTGCCGCTGCAGCAGGAACCTTGCCAGTCTTGGCAAGCTGGCTCTGCATCCAGATGTTCTGGGCAAACGCTGCTCGCAGCGTGTCATGCCTGAGTGGATATACATATATATTGTATATACTTATTTATTAATGTGTGTGTAGCAGTAGCTATAGAAGTAGCAGTTTCCCAAGCTAATCCGAAAGACAGACACTGCGATGGCATTACAATGGGTTCCCTAACTGAAATATTCCAATTGGGGACTGGTAAATCCACCAAAAAACAAATATATCAGTTTCATTGAAGTGTCAAGTTGATATAGGTTGCAGCCTAAAAAGCAGCCAAGAAGCTGGCTCCAGAACTTGTATGCCACGAATGCGTCCCGCTGCAGGATGGTGGACTGCTCATCTGCGAAAGTGATCTCCTGGGAGCAGCTGGCACTCGTTGTGTTTCTGCATTGCACAACAGGGGTGCGCATGCCCCTAACAAACTTGCACAACAGCAACGCAATTGCCAGAAGCTGTCCTGGAACACCCGAGCATGTGCGCCAAATCCCAGACTCATCATCTTTTTGCTCAGCATGTGCTCATCTTCCACAGGGTCGCCAGCAGAGTCCTCCTTGCCCCTGCTGGCAAGCACACAGATTGCCAGAACGTTGTCCGGGCCAGCTATCTTGCTGATGGATGCCAGCAAGGGTGCATACCTTGCCACACATAATTGGTACCATGAAATTACATGTATGAACAGCAGACCGAAGCCAAATTCTAGGCTAGGCTGCTTATCCAGGACCAAAGAGTTCCGTGCCTGGGAGCCATGCTGGAGTCCATTGAGCAAGACACACTGCCATGGCTGTATCAAAATAGCAACTCAGTCAGGTACGTTTGGGCAGTTCAGATCCAGGCGCACCAGCACCAAATGCTTGGGAGGTGGGTTGACTTCAGGCAAGAACGCATTGCCAGAGCCAGGTGGCAAAGCTGGCGATGGAGCTTTGGCCTCAGAATGTTCACATCCTGAAGAAACATGATCATGATGCAAGTATATATTCAACTGGGGCACTGAAGCGAAAAACTCACCAGGAATATCAGTGAATGACTTCACTGACAGTGGCCTCACAAACCAGGACATGTACTCCTCCACCAGGTTCTTTGCCATAGAGACCATGGAGAGGCGCTTCTGGTGGTGCATCCACTCCAGCCTTAGATGATGGGTGTCACGTTGCAACATCGGAGGGTCAACACAGAACAGAAATCAGCTGGGCAAGGAGCTGGTTCTGGAGAATCTCATATCCCTGTGATGCCCGGGCAAGCAAGGCCAGGTCCTTCTTCAGGTAAGCTTCCAGGCTCATGAGCCGAGCTTTCCAAGCATCCGCCTCCACCTGCTCAAGCGCTGCCTCCTCATTCAAGTTGGTTGCACCATCTGCACGGAGGTCCCCAATCATTCCAGCATGAAAGTGAACAGGGAATCCCGCCAGGACTTTGAGCACCTGCAACAGCTCAATCTGAACAAGGCTCATTATAAGGGATCATTCTGCACTGAAGCTTGCCTGGCCTGTTCATCAAAGGCTGTCCCCTCCTCAATGGCCAACCTCACTTCTCTGGCTGAAGCGTCATCCAAGTCAGTCATAGTGTCCCGCATGGTGCGGTTCCAGAAGGTGATCACCTGGCGGTACACAGCCACCTTCTCCACAGTGGGCTTGAACCTGGGCAGCCACGCAGCTTGGAATGTTGCAGGATGGCAGAAACAATGTGTTGCATGGCAAGCAGCGCTGCCCGGGGCATATCCTCCCCCAAGCTTTGCACGTCACCCTCGAAGGTTGCCACCATCTTCCGCACCAACAAGTTGAATTCTGTCACACTCAAAAGCGATCGATAGTCAGTCTGTCCCACTTTGGCATTCTTCGGGCAAAGCTTGTAGGCCAAGTCTGCAGCCTGAAATGACACTGGCCCCTTTGCTTGCAAACTAGGCTGCACTTCAGCTCCCAGTAAAGGTCTAAGCTTTTGCAAGAAACATCAAAGTAAAGTCAAGCAAGCTGCATGTGCATATGCTGCTGAGGGGCACTCCTGGCACAAAGCTCTTGCTGTTCCGTTGGCGTGGAGCCAGGTGGCGGCACTGACCCAGGCCAAAAGTGTTTCCATGCCAGCACTGAGTCACTGATAGCGCTGCCTCAGGGCTCTGTCATGCATGTTTCCTTCTCCAGGACACAAACCCAGTAAGTAAAGGCTTCACTTCAAAGCTGCCACCCTGTGCCTCGCTGACCCTGTGCAAAAGCTGTGTGCAGCTGCAGGGTCTTCCATGCTTCAGGTGTCATCTTCCGCAAGATGGATTGGATGGCAGTGCACCGCTGTGTGCCCATGCCTCAGACAGTGAATGAGCCAAAAGATGGTCAGCTTCCAGAAGCAAGCGAGCTGCATTTTAAGAAACAAACTATGCCCAGATGCGAACACCTTCCTGATCATCAGCAGGTGCCTCAGCCCCCTTCTTTCCATTTGAGAGCCTCCCCCGCCGCTGCCTCTTCTTTGCCTAACGCAACAAGTAGCAAGCAAGCATCATCATCTGTGCACTGTTTCCAGCTATCACCTCAGGCAAGCCGAGCTGCAGGTACATCCATGGAAACTCCCTCTTGCTCCAGGGCATCATGATACCCAGCCACTAGCCTGTCAAAGGCAGTCACCAGGTCCTCACCTGTGTGCAGGGCTGGTGGGGTGTGTAGTTTACAGGAAACCATAAGGTGGATGGTTAAGACCAATTTCTCCCCCTGCCTCGCCGTTGACGAAGCTCATCGTGCACAAATGCTTCTTCTGGATCCAATCCCCCCTTGGCGACACAGCACTGCCAGTCATTTTACAGTTGTTGAAACTTCACAATGGACAAGCAGTTCAGGCCACATGCCTGAAGCACCATAAACTAGATCCACTACATGGAGGGCTTTGTGAATGCCCAGGACATCCCCTGGACACTGGAAGCCAAGATGCCGGGTGAAGAGAGAGCAGGCAAAGGTTGACCCACTGCATAGTTGTAAGAGGTTGGCACATTGTCCCTCGGATATTCTGCTTCACCGCTGCCTTGATGAGACCACTTTCATGCTCGTGGGTCTCAAAACCTTGGTCAGGCACGTTGCGTTGCACTGTCAAGAGTCAAGACTTGACAAGACAAGTGACAGGTGGGCATGAAGAGCAAAGACTTCACGATCATGATCAAGGTTGCATTGCCATGCAGGCTGGGATCCGTCTGGACGCGGATCGCTATGAGATGCCACCTTGGGACAGCACAGTATGAATGTGCAGTTGTGTACAAACTGCAACAGGCGTTGTGCCAACTAATTATAAAAAGAATCATGTCTGTTTGGCAAACACGGGTACTGCTGTTCGGCACCCTTTCAGGCCAGCGTTCGGCCACTCAAAGTGGCCAGACAGGACTCCTGGGCCTTTCCAGCCAGCCTGGCCGTTCGGCAACTCAGAGTGGCCAAACAACTGAAGACTCCTGGGGCCTTTCCAGCCAGCCTAGCCGTTCGGCAACTCAGAGTGGCCAAACAACTGAAGACTCCTGGGCCCTTTCCAGCCAGCCTGGGCCAGATGGCTAAGGACTGCTTGGCAGTCAGGCCAAGGCCAGCCTTACAATTGAGAGGTTTGGATACTCCCCCCTTCAATTGCATGGCCACTCTGGGTGGCCAAACAGTTGAGGGGGTTGAGGGGGTCGGGGGGGGGGGGGCAACGCCCCCCCCCCCAAAACCGCCCTCAACCCACTCATGCTGTTTTGGCCACCCTAGAGTTGCCCATGCCAAAATTGAAGGGATGGGGAGTATCCAAACCTATCAATATGTTCTGTGGTTTTTTGTGTTGCGGGTGGTTTTTGTTTTGTGACTTGTTTTTGTCGGCCTGGCTGCTGGCTGGAAGTGGCCCCAGGAGTCTCAAGTTGATTTGGCCACTTGAGGTACTGAAAGATAATGAGGAATGTTCTGGGAAGAGGGCCCTGGGAGTCTTCAGTTTGTTTGGCCACCCAGAGTTGCACTCTTTTTTCTTTTTTTGTTTTTTTGTCTGGCCGAACGGCCAGGCTGGCTGGTTCGGCCCTGGGAGTCTTCAGTTGTTTGGCCACTCTGAGTTGCCGAACGGCCAGGCTGGCTGGAAAGGTCTCGGGAGTCTTCAGCTGTCTGGCCACTCTGAGTTGCCGAACGGCCAGGCTGGCTGGAAGGGCCCCAGGAGTCTTCAGCTCTGGCCACTCTGAGTTGCTGAACGCTGGCCTGAAAGAGTACCATCCTGAGAGGCCTGTCTTCAGCCAGCTGCCAAAGGGGGGAACTTCACTTGCCGAACATTCATGACGCGGCCTGCCGAACGTGTGCTGCCCTGTTTGCCGTGCATGATGCCATCATTGTGCCGAACGCTGCCTCCCTGGTCTGCCGAACGTGGAACCCCCTGTTGGAACCAATCAAATTCCTTTCTTGACCAGCAGTGGCTCTGCCTGCCCACATGTCAGTTTCCAACAGACTAGGCTTGGGATGTTTGTGAAACTTACATCATACCCCTGCAATGGCAGCAAGGTGCACGGCCACTTTTCATCCAAGCCGCGCCAGCTTGCTGCTCAGCCCTCGCTTCTGGCCATCTCCAAATCTCAAGCCAGAGTTCGTCTTCTCCAAGTCTCTGGCACAGAGTGTCTCCTCCTTCATGTAGCCTCAGCTTGACACACATTTCAAAACATGACTGATTGCACCCCTTGGCACTCATCCTTGCATGCTGTCCCAAGAAAAACAGCATATCTGACAACAATCCTCTCTGAGCAAGCGTGGGATAGGAAAGGTTGCCTAGAAATCCCAAGTACATGGGAAACAGGCGTTGAAAATGAAAAATGTTGTTTTACTGCAGAAAAGGTAATTCCAAGAGACGAAGGGCATTGTTTGTGCCGATGAGACTGTCCCATTGTTCTGGGAATTTCTGGTGCTGCTTTGGGCCTGGGGTGGGGGAAAGGGGGGGGGCAAGTGCAACCAAACAGCTCAAAGCATTGAACTTGCTGGAAAAGGAACCTAAAATGTATCTTGGAAGAAAGTAGTTTGACAGAGCCGAACAAAGCAGTTCTTTCTTGTGAAATGCAACGTTGTCATCATACTTGTGGCTGCCTATGTTGTTGGCAAGGTGACACAATGTAAAACACTAATGTTGGCAAAGTGTGTCTTTTTTCTGTCAGACAAACATAGGGAGATGTTTGCTGCAAAAAGCTCAGGCACAATGTGGTGACATGAGCAAATGCACTCAGCCAAGCACTGATCCTTTGTTCTTCTAGACTGGCCCACTCAGGCTGTGCCCAGAGATGGGAATTCTTCCAGCCCTGGCCACCCCCCCCGCCGCACTGGGAACTGCCCAACAACCCCCTTGTGTGGGAAGGGATATGTTGATATTGCACATGTTCAAGACAGGTTAGGAGTCAGGTGTAATCAGGCTGCTGGCATTGGCAGCAATATGTTGCAAGATGCTGCAGGCCAGAAGCCTTTGCTGAGCATAGACTTTGTCAGAGAGGCCAGCTTCCAAGCCTCTGCCTCGCCAGACCACAGCGAGTCCCTCGTAAACCTCCAGTGAAATGGGGTGGATGTGCCCATAGAGCTGTGTGGCATTGTGCAAGGCTTCATGATCTCATTGCCATCCATGCCCTCAGCACCGATCATCTGCCTTAGCCAAGCATGCAAGTTTCACAGTACAGTGTGTTAAAATTATTTGGCTAAGCTGCGCCATTGCATTGATCTCAGATGCTGGGGAGGCTGGCACCGGCAGCTGTGTGATGAAGTCCTGCAGCGTCTTGCCTTCATTCTGCAGGTCCTGAGATGGCCAAGGTAAGCAATAAAAGAAGGCACTAGCACATTACATGCACATCACTGCTCTGCCAGCAAAGTGAGCCAGGTGGCACTCACCAGCTTGTCCACCTGACCATGCCAGCCATCCAAAGCCATGGCACTGGAAGAACCCCTGCAATGGATTGGCAACCCTTGTCCATGCAGAGTGTTCATCATGTGTGCACACTTACCTGCTGCATGCCAGTCATGGTCATCTGAGTGAGAAGCCAGCAAACATCAAACATGTCAAATGTACAGTGCAGGACGGACATCAAGCATGGCAAGGTTTCACACGCTGGGGCACAGCCGTTCTGCAACAGCTTCACCTCACATTGGGCTGACCATTGGCTGAAAAAAGAAGGAATCATGCATGAGCCCAGTAGTGTCTAAGAATGCAGCAGCCTCACCTTGGCTGAGTGTCAACTTGCCATGGAACATTGACTGCATGCTGCATTGAAGCATGTGCTCATTGCCCACAAGTAATGGCACAGCTGTTTTTTGACAGCTGCTTTGTCATTGCCAGACATATGGCTAGCTCGTGGCTCAATGTCTGGACAGGTTCACGCACTTGGAAAGCACACATGATACTAAAGGTGAGTGCCTTTCGAGTCACAGTACCCAAAGTCGTTGCCTTTGTTTGCCAATGCGGTAGCCAGCCTTGCCCATTTGCAGGTTGACAGTTTCTTACTGAAAACTCAGAATAGCTTGCTGGGGATCAACAATTATGGATTTGCAACATCATAAGAGCTGGCAGCTCACCATGTCTGTGAAACTATGCAGAGGACTTAAGGTGAGGCAGAAAGTTGATGGCTGGCACTGGAACCTGCCAAAAAGTCTATGATCCTCCCAAAGGCTTAAGGGGCCTGATTCAGATAATTGAATGTCAGCCTTTGTGATTGCAAACATGAATGCTTCAGCCATTATAACTGCCTTGCAGAGCCTCTAAGAAAGTGTGCCTGAAGTGCCTGAAAGCGTTGCTGCGGTGAAGTTGGCACTGATTCCCTCCTTCTGCTAGCTGCCGATCAACCCAGGCAATGCGAAGCAACTCAGAATGGCTTGCTGGGGAACAACAATTATGGATTTGCAACATCATAAGAGCTGGCAGCTCACCATGTTTGTGAAACTATGCAGAGGGCTTAAAGTGAGGCAGAAAGTTGATGGCTGGGGAATCTGCCAAAAGGTCTATGATCCTCCCAAAGGCTTAAGGGGCCTGATTCAGATAATTGAATGTCGGCCTTGTGATTGCAAACATGAATGCTTCAGCCATTATAACTGCCTTGCAGAGCCTCTAAGAAAGTGTGCCTGGAATGCCTGAAAGCATTGCTGCGGTGAAGTTGGCACTGATTGCCTCATTCTGCTAATACCTAGCTGCCAATCAACCTAGGCAATGCGAAGCAGTAACAGCCAGTCTTGCCCATCTGCATCTTGAATTCTCCCTGATCGTTGATGGGAGGGGGCATGAATTCAAAAATATCAGAGGAGCTGGCAGCCTACTGCTTCTGTGAAACAATGCCAAAGACCGAAGCAGGGCAGAATGCTGATGAATGGTTTTGAGGATGCTTGTGATGCAGCCCACGGCACTCTCATGAGGGTCCTAACATGATCCTCATGGTTTGAGGGGCCCACTTCAGATGATTAAATGTCAGCTATCTCCGGTGGAGCGGAGTGGGGATTGCTATCAAAGGAGAGGCCGCTGCCTTCTGTTTCTGGCCCGGCTGGGGGCGGGGCGGGGGCGGGGTTAGGGGGGTAATTTATGGCTGGGGGGAGGCAGTGGATGGGAGACGGTAGTGGTCGGTCGGCTGTGGTATTCTGTTGCTTGGGTTTTTAGTTTATTGTTTGTTCCTTGTGAGCGGCTTCTGTCTTTTTGCCGTCGTGTTTCTTTTGTGCTTGTGCTTTATACTACTTTCCTTGTTATTTTGCGTGCTTCCCTCTCCTTTTTTATTGTCTGATTGTTTTTTCTGGATTATGTTTTTGTCTTTGAACAGTGTGCACAAAGTGCCTAGAAGCATAGCTGCGATGACATTGGCACTAAAGGCAGCCTGCCAAGTCTTGAACTTGGCGAAGGGTGAGCTCACCAGGCAAACCAGCTAAGGCCAGCTCACGCTGAGCCAAGCCCTGGAGACCAAACCAAAAAATCGGGCTCTGGTTGGTGCTTGCGCCAGAATTTTTGAGATAGGTGAAGGATTTTGCTGGTAACAAGCAGTGGTGGATGTTGCAAGCCCACCTCATGCGATCAAGTGAATCTCCAGAGTTCACAACCAGTAGCCTGTCCATTGGGATGTCAGCATCCAGTGTCTTGCGCAGAGATGCGAGGGTGCAGGCCCTGAAACTGTTGTTCTGCCCACAGCAACTGTGCACGTGCCAGGTCAGCCTGCGTAAGCTTCTTGGCATTGACAAACCGGTCATGCAGGTCAGGCCATTTTCCCTTCCGTGCCTGCTCCTGTCTCCTACCTGGAGCCTTGTGTCCAGCAGCTTGATAGCCTTCCTGGCATCTGTTCCACAAATGATCCAAGGACTCACATGTTGTTTGAAGCTGGCCGATGAGGTCCCAAGCCCTCTGTATTGCATGCATGCCCTGTTCCTTGCCTCTCGGGCCAAAAGAATCCAACTTCAGGCTAATACCATAGCATCGTTTGCGGCTTTGAGGCAAACCATAGTCTGAACTGTCCAGCGTGGCGAATGAAGTGAAATATCCAAACTCTGACAAGTGCTCAGCAACTTTTTCAGTGCCAGTCTCAAACTGCTTGTTGTACTTCAAAGCTGCCACGCACTCAAAAATGATCACTCCAGGCCTCTTGGTTTGCTCCAGTGAAGTCAAGTAGGCAAAAAACTGGGTCAGGGACTGGCCAGACCTGCCAGAGGTGTCCAGGACACTCTTCTGCGTTGTACTGCTCATGCTGATGTCATCGCACTCGATGGAGACGATCACCAAGTCAGTGGCCAGCGCCTTCAAATCTGAAGTGGAGCCAAACATGTCATAGGCAGACAGCTTCAAGTGGCTCAAGGTCTGCAGAAGCCGATGCCGCTTCCAAGTGCAGCTCTCAGAGAAGAAGGCAGGCTTTGCCTGCATGTAAACCTCCTCAGTTGCAAGGGCCCTCACGATGCACTCCATTGCAATGGTGCCTGTTCCAATGCCTGCCATGAGCTCCGCATAGCTGATCGCCATCTGGTTCAGGCTTCTCCGATCTTCCTGAGTCAGCTTAGCCACAGCCTCACGCACAAAACTCATCAAAGAGCAGTCTTTCTCGACCTGCTGCTTCTTGGGACTGAACATAGCTGTGTCCCCAATGTCTTCCACCTTTGCTTTCTTGGCCTGCTTGTGGCTTGCCCAGGTCTGCTCAGCCTTGCGAATCCGGGAAGCTTCAGCTGATTCACTGCCTGATACAGATGAAGTGCTTGCTGACGTCCTCTCTGACAGAGTTCTTGGCACATTGAGCTTGAGCAGATTGTGCTTTGCCACCTCTTGCAGAGTTGCCACCTCTGGCAGAAGGAGCCCTGCCGCCTTTGCCTCTGGCAGGGCGGCCCCTGCCACCTCTGCCTGTGGCAGAGTGGCCCTGGCCACCTCCGGCAGAGTAAGCTCTGCTTGCACCTCTGGCAGGTGCATCTTCTGAATCAGACACGCTGCTTGTGGAGCAGGACCTTTCTTCTGCCATTGCTGGAACCACTTGGCAACAAACCTTCTTTTTGGGCACTGGGGCAAACTGACTCCGTGAGGCAAGTTGGCAACATACCTGTTTTCTTGTATTGGTGCAACTGTGTCAGTGTCTACCATGTCAGTGGAGATTAGACTGCAACAGCCTCAGCTTCAGGTCACTGTTGACACTTGAGCCACTGATTGCGCTGCACTAGCAATCTGCCAAGGATATATTGGATGTAACCATGCTGCCAAACCATGTCAAGTCTCAGCTCTTGGCAGTCAGCGTCAGCCTTAGAAAGCAAGCAACAGCATGACTGGCACAGACTGGCAACATTCTGGCCAACAGCCTGCAAATCTGCTGCTGAGTGCCTGGCAGCTCTGACAAAGCCACGTACAAGTTAGCCTCAGGCACACGCAAGCTGCTAATGGCAAGCATGTGATGTAGAAAAAGACATGCGCTGTGTGTGGCAGGCTATGACCACACGCTGTTTTGCCCCATCGCCCCTATGCATGCGCATCGCTGTCTTCAGCCATGCTATTCCCCTGCCTAACACGCACATGGTGTTAGGCATGATCTGGCGTGGCCAGCCTGGTAAAGGCTTGGTAAGGCTTGGCCAAGATAATTTGATGCTCGCATGGCTGGCTAACAACAGTGACAACAGATTCAGCCAGAGCATGCCTAGCAAATCATGCCTCACATGTGACTTCTGACTGGCTAGCCCACTGCTGTAGATTCAGGCAGATCTCCCAGTCAGACTTCCCAGCCAGCAGCTTGCTGGGCAGCTGTAAACCTTGGAGCAGTGTGTCATGGAGCCTACTGATGACTGGTGGTTGCGCATTCTCAGGCTATTGCGCAGTTGCCATGGACGGGAAGCGGCTCCAAGAGATGGTTGACCCTCCTTTCTTGTCGACCTGACTTGTCTGGGCACTGCACACAATCAGCTCTTGACAAGTGTACCAATGTTGCTGAGCTCCTGACATTGAAGCCATCCAGCTGACTGATCACATGCTGCACATAGAACAAGCCATGCAGGCGCACTGTGATGGGCTTGCTCTTGTCACTTGCGTAAACTGTGAAGGACCTGACAGGACTGAAACAGTGGATCAAAGCAAGTTGGGAAGCTGCAGGGCTAGCGTAAAGCAAGTGCTGGCAGTCAACTGGTCAATGACTGCATGCAAACTGTAGACTGAGATGTGCACACTTGCGGGAAGCCAGGGCTGATCTTGAGGGCTGCAATGTCTGTGGTCTCCAGCATTTGCCTGCC